GTGTGTGTGTGTGTGTGTGTGTGTGTGTGTGTGTGTGTGTGTGTGTGTATCTATCTATCTGTGTGTGTGTCTAGAATCCTTATATAGGGAGCAATATAATAGCATATGGCTTAATGTTTCTATTGAGCCATCTCCACATGGACATAATCGAAGGTGCATGGGAATGCCCTTAAAACATCCAAAAAGGACTGCTGAGGGCAATGCGTCCATTCTAGCTAGGGTGAAAGCTTTGTGAAAGATTACGAATGTTGTAACAGGAAGCATATACACTTATGGCATCACCTAAGTTACCGGTGACGTGGATAGCCTATAATTCCCCTTATGTTGCCTCTCCATGATGGAAGCCTTTTTTACTTTTAGGAAATAATGTCACAAACTGTTAGTTTCTACATTTGGGAGTGTAATCATGAAATTTTGAAATGCAAATTTCTGGATGGAAACAAAGTCAGCTCATTAGTTTATAGAACCCTGGTAGACTAATCTGCTGTAGGTAACCCTGTTATTCCAGTGATTCCATCCTGTCTTGATTAACGGAATTTAAAATTGATATGATATAGAATATAATTAATGTTTCTATTGTTTCAGGAGGCTTTGTAATTGGTGGAATAGTATCACCTGAACAAAGAGAACCCAGAAAACCTAAACCGAAAGTTACTAGGAAATCTGTTCCGGAGATGGGTATGGTCATCACAGCATTATGTGTGTGGAACAGATACACTTGCAAAAAAATCAAAACAAAATGGATGTTTGTAACAAAGATTATTAGAGTACCCTCACTGAATAGAAATTAATGTCCTTACACAGGTAGTCCTCGGTTAATGAGCACTCATTCAGCAACTGTTCGAAGTTATGAGTGGTCCTTGAAGTTCTGGCCATCCCAGCATCCCTGCAATCACGTGATCATGATCTGGGCACTTGGCAACTGGCTTGCACTTCTGATGGTTGCAGTGTCCCAAGTCACGTGATTGCCCTTGCACGCCCTCCCCCACCCTGCAGCAGCCACCCAAGCCTTGCCATGTTGCATCTGCTCCTTGTGTGCCCTCCTGCAGCAGCCACCACAAGCCCTGCCATGGTTGTGCTGGCTACCCATGCACCATCCTCCACTCAGCAGCCTCTTACCTGCCTGCCAGCCTGTTTGTGAGCTATATGGGACTTGCAACTTCCTGCCATCTCCCCACTGACTTTAGTTGTTGGAAGCTGGCAGGAAGTTGTGAGGAGGTCCTCGGTCAATGACACGTGAACTTCACTTAATGATGGCAATGGGAACTGCCGGGATTGCTGTTGCTAAGCGATGCTGTCACATGACATCACACTTTTCTGGGTATGTAAACAAACTTCCAAACAAAGTATTGGGCTGTGTCCCCCCATTTTATTTTGTAAGAAAGCTTATAGGGCCCAGAGGAATAAAATGACACTGGAGACTAATGCTTTGTTTTTCATCCCATTATAAATTATTATTTTAAAGGTAAAAAATTAAGTGAACAGGGGGCCTTGGAGGTATCAAGGAAGGCCATAGTGTAGAAATGAACTAAGTGATATGCTTCTTTCAAAATACATAATGTAAAAAAATATTTACCTTTTTAATGGGTGAAGTGAATAATCTCAGCACTCTTGCAGTGCGTCTCTTAAAATCAGAATTGCAGCAATGAGTTTCTGTTTAGAGAAGATACAGTGGATCTTTTCTGCAGTCATCCTGAGCTTCTGAACACCTCTGAAATTCAGACAAATCTCAAAGAAAAGACTATTTCCCCAGAGCATATTTGGTGTGAATTTCAGGCTAATCAAAATTTATGAGCTCTGTTGAATGTGAAATAGAAAAATAGCAGGGTAGATCTTCCAAATCTGCCTATTAATATTGGGAACAGCAGTTTTGGCAGTAAGTAAGGCAGAATAAGGGAGTATTTCTGTTTATCCACTGTGATTAATCGTAACATTGGCAATCCTGATTGGAGACTGAGGGGCTATATAGATGTGGGTCAGTGGTCAAATATTTTTCCATTCCAGCAATCATGTCAGAATGTTATGCTAGTTAGCTTTCATAGACATGGCACTACTGTTTTCTCTTTCTCAAGACTCATGTACATTTGTAATGTGAAACTTGGGGAGTGCTGACAGACAGCCTGATACAGTAATGATAATATAACATTCATATAGATATGAAGAAACCATATACCTTGAACTGGGCAATGAGTTTGAGAGACTGGGGACTAACAGTTCTGCATTTTGTAGCAATACTCTTTGTGTCAGAACAATTGAGAATGACATGATGTCAACAAAATTAGCTCTCAGCTCCAGTTAATTTTGCAAATGTTTTAAGATTGTTTTCCTGATAGATATCTAGTGTACAACTTCGTTTGTCTGTTATGTAAACAGAAGAGTTAGAAAAGAAGTGGGGACTCACCATGTTTGAAGAATCCTCTGTGACTTTTATTTAAATTTGAGCTAGTAAGATTTCTAGGCCTGTTTCTTAAATTTTGTTTCAAAGGAGTACAGGTAGTCCTTGCTTAGCGACCACTTGTTCAGTGACCATTTGAAGTTATGATGGCACTGAATGAGGGGGACTTATGACTGGTCCTTGAAGTTGTGGCCATCACAATGTCTCCATAGTCATGTGATCGCTATTTGGGCACTTGGCAACTGGTTTGCACTTAACAACAGTTGCAGTGTCCTGTAGTCCCACGATTGCCATATGCAGTCTTCCCTGCTGGCAAAGTCAATGGGGAGGCCAGCAGGGAAAGTCACAAGTCACTCCTGCTCCTGCCACTTTTTCTTCTGAGGAGCCCCCTGGCAGCAGGGTGAGTGCCGGCTCCAGTGCCCACCCCGACCTGGTTGCGTTCGCGCTGCGCTACAGTGCCTGCCCACCTGCACTCGTGCTGTGCCTGTTTGCTCCACGGCACCCACTCCCTTGCACTGCGGTGCCCATCCCCCCACTTGTGCTGCAGCGCCCATCCCCTTACCCACTTGCACAGTAGTGCCTGCTCACACTCGTACCATGCTACAGCACCCACCTGCCTACCTGCGCTCTGTAGCACTCACCTGCCTGCTGGCCTGCTTATGAGCTACCTAAGGAAAGGCTTGTCGTGCCTGGGGCTTGCTACTTACTGCCAGCTTCCCCATTGACTTTGCTTTTTGGAAGCCGGTAGGAAGTGGCAAGTGGGCATATGAGGTCCTTGCTTAACAACCCACAGTCCTCAATGGGGACTGCTGGGATTGCTGTCGCTAAGAGATGTGGTCATGTGACATTGCGCTCTATGACCACATCACTTAGTGATGGAAATTCCGGTCCCAATTACCGTTGTTAAGCAAGGACTACCTGTAACTACTGTCCGGCCTTAAGTCCAGTTCTCTCTGTTTTGTTTTGCAGAGAACATGCATGATAACTCAGTTTCCTTAAGAGATCCTTCTCAGCCGGCTGTTGTTTTTGATAAAGCATCTAATCAAGAAATTCTTCTAGGTGAGTGTTATGACATAGTTTTAAAGGCATTGATGACAAGTATAAGAAAATGTGCTTTATTCTGATATACAAGATCATTCACAAAGCATGCTGATCATTTTCCTTTATGGGTACTCATTATATCACTTTTTTTTTTTTGCCTGCCTTTACCAAGTGTCACCCTGGATTATCAGCACATATAATTGATCATTTGTAACACTAGTTGCGGGTCAGCAACGTATTTCTTGAAGAAATACCAATCTGGGTTCTGGAGATTACCAAACTTATCTCCCAGCTAAAAAAAGAGAAAGATCTAATTTTAGCATATATTACAGGCCAACATGGATTGATAAGCTTAAATTTCGGCTATAGCCAAATAGCACATTTTAAATAACACCTGTTTTTACAAGATGGCGGCGCCTTGTTTGGCTGCGGCTGTGTTGGCTTTCAATAGTTTAGTGTTTAGTGTAGAGCAGCAAAGTTATGCAGTTAGACTGCTATATGACTGGCAACATATACTGGAACTGCAGATGTACAACAGGCGTCCTGCTGTTTGGGGGAGATTATGTTGCCTTGGGTTGCTGCGTCGGCAAGGTTTGGAGACTTACAGGACTGCGGGGTCTCTCACTGGCATTGGCTGCTTTTCGAGGAGATGGAGGAGACAGTGGAGGAGGCGGAGGATGCATTGTGATAGAAAGCGAAGGAGCCAGGGAGGACTAACGGCAAGGCTGAAGGCTAACCCACATAGAGCGCCGCTTCCATCCATTTTGTTTACTAATGTTCGTTCACTGGAGAACAAAATGGATTATTTGAAGTTGGATTTTACAACAAGGTGTGAGGTGAGAGAGTGTTGTGTTATAGTGTTGACAGAGACGTGGTTAAAGTCATCTGTTCCTAAGAAGGCTGTTGGCATGGAGAAGTTAACGATGTTTCACTGGACAGGAGTCTTGCTCTTACTGGAAAAACTCGAGGTGGTGGAGTATGCATTTATATCAATAAGAGATGGTGTATCAACTCAAAGGTGGTTTCAACTTATTGTTCACCTGATGGGGAGTTGTTTACTATCAGATGCAGACCTTTTTATCTGCCCAGGGAATTCACTGCTATTATTACAGCTGTGTATATATCCCCCTCTGCAATATGAAGGAGATCTTGAAAGTTCTTTATCACATTATCAGTGACTTGCAAACTCTCCACCCGTAGGGTGTGTTTATCGTACTTGGAGATTTCAATCAGGTTAACTTGAAAACAGTCCTCCCTCATTTCCATCAATATGTGGATTTTGCAACCAGGAGTAGGAACACATTGGATTTAGCCTATTCTAACATTAAGAGTGCATTTAATTCCTCAGACCATCTCACTGTAATGCTAATTCCAGCATATGTAGGCGTTTGTTAACTAGAGAAAAACCAATTGTGAAGCAGGTGAGAGTTTGGCCCGAGGGAGCAATGGAAGTATTACGAGGCTGTTTTGAGTGTACAGACTTGGACATGTTTAGGGAAGCTGCAAGGAATAACCAACATTCGAATGTGGAGGAATACATTTCATCTGTAACTGCATATATCCAGAAGTGTATGGAGGATGTCAGTGTTACTAAGAACATCATCTTATGGGCGAATCAGAAAGCTTGGATAACTCATGAATATATGGGAAGTTGAAAGTGAGGAACGCTGCTTTTAAGTCTGGCGATATGGGGGCTTTTAGAACAGCTAGAGCTGATCTGAATAGGGCTATAAGAGCAGCAAAGCGGACTTATGGCCAGAAAGTTCAGAATTTTTTTCATGATTCTACAGATACCAGGTATATGTGGCAGGGTATTCAGGCTATTACAGACTACTCCGGCATCATGTGAGGAGAATATAGATTTTCTTAATGAACTTAATAGGTTTTTTTGTAGGTTTGAAGCATTTAACAATACTCCTGCGAGGAAGGCTGTATCTCATCCTGATGAGCAGGCACCTACCCTTGGTATAGCTGATGTTCAGAGGACCCTGAGAAAAATTAATATTCAGAAAGCAGTGGGCCCAGATAATATTCCAGGGCGGGTACTGAGGGACTGTGTTGAACAGCTGGCTAGGGTCCTCACAGACATATTCAATACTTCTTTGCACCAGGCTGTGGTCCCGGTAGGCTTTAAGACTGCGACTATTATACCTGTGCCTAAAAAATCTACAATCGCATCCCTCAGTGATTACTGCCCGATAGCACTCACTCCCATTGTGATGAAATGTTTTGAGAGGCTGATGAAGGATTACATTGTTTCCAGACTTCATCCTTTGTTTGATCCACTTAGTTTGCTTATCAGCGGGATCACTCTGTAGAGGTTGCAATCTCTTCTGTTCTTCATTTGAGTCTGGTACATCTTGAGGAGAAGAACAGTTATGTGCGATTGCTGTTTGTAGATTTCAGCTCAGCATTCAATACGATTTTTCTCCAGCATTTGGTAGACAAACTGGGTTCTCTGGGTTTCAGTACTCCCTTGTGTAATTGGCAACTTGACTTCCTTACTGAGAAGTCTGAGCCAGTGTGAGTTGGAAATAATATCTCTATCTCTATCTCTCTGAGCATCAGCTCCCCACAAGGCTATGTCCTGAGCTCACTGTTGTTCACCCGGTGACCCATGACTGTTGTGCCAGGTTCATCACCAATTCTGTTGTGAAATATGCGGATGATACAATGGTGGTGGGTCTTATCAGGGATGACAG